GTTTCTTGATATTTTAGAAACTGGCTCGTACCAGTTTTGGCACTTTTTATTTGAAAACGGCTATCAGTGAAGTGGTTAAAAAATATATCATGGCGCTGCGAGTAAAATATTTATAAATACTTTGATGAAAAAAATTAGGTATATTGGGCGCGCGTGAGAATCCTTAAATTGAAATGAGCAGCGTATCTTCGTTTTGTTTGCTACCAGGTGTCTAATTGGTTCGGAAATAAGAGGATACGCTATAAGAAGAACATCGGTAAAGCGCAAGAGGAAGCGAATCTGTACGCAGCTAAGAAGGCAGCTGGTAAGTTCCGACTTCGCTAAGCGGGTGTCCCTTCACGACTTTATTTTATTCAAAACATGAAGAAAATTTTGTAATAGTAGATAACTGATAAAATGTTCATGTATGAATATCTCCACGATTGAAAAGCAACATTTGGTTATTAACGAAAGTCAGAAATAATTTTATTTTATGAATGGCTACCATTATTTTTATATTTCGATGCTCTCCCGGGCTTATTGCTCTTTTGATTACATCATCGAACTTTATTGAGGAAAAGCGAATTAAAAGCGAGAAATGTAAATTGTTTTCCTGTAAATTGAAGTAATTAACAGACAAATTGTGGTACATACTTTTTCTCATATTTTTTAAGCGTTAAGTTAAGAATCGAGAGGAAGTCTCATTACTGTAAATCATTAGACGACTGAGTTACTGCCTATTGTTCGGCGTGGTAGTAACTAACATTATTATTGCAACCATTGATGAATCGCCGACGAAGAATAAATCTAGCGATTGTTTTCTTCGGCACGTTATGCTTAGAAGAAACACATCTTTGTGACTAAAAAATAATTTTATTTTTAAAAAGGAATTTAAAAAAATTTCTTGCTTTCAAAAATTGCAAAGCATGTATAGAGCTATGAAATTTTTGTTTTATCTTTTGGAATAGACTTTTTCGCACTATCTATTTTTGTCTTTCATCACCAGCCTCGAAGGCGATCTTCTCTCATGTTCTCGTAAAAATTGCAAGAAAAATTCTCGATCCCATTCCGAAATTCCACGAATTCGTGGCTCTCACCCTGGTCGCAATTACGCGCGCTTCGCTTAACTACCGAGGCATCTCACTTTATTTCGGACGCGTGAGATATTTTTAACTCACCAATTATACGAGAGAGAGAGAGAGAGAGAGAGAGAGAGAGAGAGAGAGAGAGAGAGAGAGAGAAGAGAGAGAGAGAGAGAGAGAAGGGGAGAACACGAGTCAGATGGTGAGACGCCTGGGGTACGATGGAAATTCCGAGCTTCTCGCATTTCTTTCAGCACTCTCTGCGTTTGTCTTTCCTCGTCCACGTTTGCGATGAAACGACCCGCGGTCCTCTCGTAATTAAAGAAACGGAATTCTAACGACCCGCTACCCAAACTGCTGCGAAACAACGCTCGTCTCGAATGGCGCGAAGGTTTTACAAGCGCAGAATACTCTACTGCAGAAGCCGGGTACGGTTTATACAAATCTGAAGCAAATTATGAGAAAGCTCGAATATTTTTGGAGAAAAAAAAAAAGACGAATTACTATCGCATTTACATTTAAGAGCAATGATAAATTATACAAGTGTAGATAGCCTCTTTATATCGTTCTATAATGTCTTCGTAATAATTAGACTGCGATATTACATTTTTGAGAGGCAAAAAGAGAGAGAGAGCATAAGCTCGCGAGACACGAGAGAAAAAATCGCTGTGGCTTAAAAAGAATTTAAATAAATCGCACCCTCGAATTTTGTATGCACCGCGATTGTTTCTACAGCAGCTTTTGCAGGAGCATCGCCGTACAGCATGGGCGGTGCCAGCCAGGGCACCCCGACGCCGATGATGTCGCCGGCGCCGCCTGGAGGACCACAGGACATGGCCGGATACAGCATGGGAATAAACGGCAGTGACTACGGTTCGCAGCCGTACAACGACGGCTCCATGGGATACGACCCCATGCATCAGGTAAAATTTACGTAGTCTCTCAGAACGCTCACTGTTGCGCGGTGTTTCCTCATTAGCCGGTTCTGGTAGTCAATGTCGCTCGCTTTTTGAAATACGCATTCACATTTACTAAGCATGAGCTTATATCCTAGAATGATATGCACACTCTGTGGGATTACGCTGTGGCTCGGAAACGCACCGCCTCTGAAAAAATAACCAAGAGCACTGAATGTGATGAATTTCCGAGGGTGAAGAAAGGAAATATAACCCAATTGAATTTTCGTATACTTTGATCGATACTTTTATTGTGACGAAAACTTAATTTCATGTGATTAAGTTTATAAATTTTATCATATATCTGGCAAAATATCACAACCAAGTGTTTTCCTCCGATTTTAATAAGCTTTGGATGTTAAAATATAGGCGAAAAAGAGATATATTTGTTTTAAAAACGTGCATTTTTTTCCTTTTCGAATGAGTATAACCCATTTTATAAATAAATTTTTTTATTGATAAAAATATTTATAAAAAATATAAAATTTAAGATCATATTTTATTAGTGAATTATTAAGTACTTTTAAAACTATTCAACTTTTGTTTAACAATTTAGATGATGTTCACTTAGGATAAAATTGATTTTTTTTCGTAAGGAATTTATTAGTAACAAATATGTATCTCTTATTTTTATTTATATTTTAATATATTATTAAAATTGCAGGGAGACATTTCATTCTATTTTTCTATAAGACGAAAAATTTCATCAAAAATTTATTTAATGAATAAATTATTGCATGTAATTATTTCACTATGTAATATTTCATTATTTTAAATCCAATTTCGATGATCATGATTTTAAAGTTTAAACCTTAATATATCAAAATTAGAGATTACATTTCTAAAGTCTTCATTATTTTGTATATATTTTTGTTTGTGTACGCCGAAATTTTTATATTTAAAATCATAAAAAAATAAATCTATATTCAATATACGTTTCTTTTTATTTTATTTGATGCTCCTTAAAATTACAGCTCCTAATTAATTTGATTTCCTCAACATACCGTTATTATCGCATATTCTATTATTTAGATGTTCATTTCTCTTTTTTCGTATAAATCATGCGAACATATGAAGTTATTACTGAAATCTGCTGCCTTTGCGCAAATTGCTTCCATGCAGTTCCAAGCCACGGCATTGCATCTCGATGAATGCATGCGCATCTCACCTTTCGCATACTCACACTCACTACAAGAAAGAAAGAGGGAGAGAATGAAAAGAGAGAGAACAAGAACGATATTGGAGAAGAAAGAGAGAGAGAGAGAGAGAGAGAGAAAGAAGAAGAAAGGGTAGCGGTGAAGGAGTCTGCTTGAGCTTCAGGATGATTACGATGCCATATACAGGGAACAGATCCTCTTGTAAAACAACCCGAATGCATAAAGGGATCATTACATAATGCCATATTACATGATTGAATTAAATGCAACTTTTTATTTTATTTTTTTTTTTTTTCAGATTTCCGCGATTTTTCAGATGTGTAAAGGAAATGAGTGTTCCATTCCGTTGTAATTTCCCGGGATTGATGAAGTATTTTCATGTGTATTTGAAACTTAACCGACCTGAAGAACTGAAATTTGCATGTGTACCCCTTTTAGCCCTGTATATGGACGTGTGTGCATGCGAGTGCGTGCGATTGAACGTATACGTGTGTTGCTGGAATATACATACAGTAGACCGGATACGCTATTGCTGGTCCTGTAAAGACAGGCTCGAGGGCGCCGACAGTCGCGGTGCGAAGGGTGTGTTGGATCGGGTAGGGGTGCTAGGGTAGAACCTGCACAGATACACGCGCGTACAACACACGTACGTGTACACAGCTAGCAGCCAATAGCGGCAGGTTTGCTTAGTATGCATTGGAGTTGCTAAGTCACTTTTTAGGCAGGGCTGGCTCTCTCACATATTAATGGAGCTAGTGGATGCACACCGCCTCTTCTAACGAGTCACCCGGCGTTTCCCGTGATGCAACACAACGAAGTGAATTCGGACGATGGAAAATTTGCGGGATTTCTTCGATCACACTCGACAGTCCCTTTATATAAAAGGGGTTCTTTTTATGTCAATCTTTGACAAATACTCTTCGCATTGCTTTTTTCATCGAATGTCGTTAAGAACCTTCGCATAAATTATCCGTTATCTTCTTTCCTCTCCTTCTTCATTAAATTCTTCTTTAACCTTCGTAAATTCGCTAAGACTATTTATAGCCCGGATTTGCTTCCATTGCACTACCTCCCTCTTAGTCGAGCCTAGTAAATCGACGTAAAGATTTTTATAAAATTTTCATTGAGAACCTTAGAGAAATTTCAAGAATTCTAGAGAAAAGAATACTTGGTCTTGCAATTCACAAATTGACACATACATGCTAATTTCCGCTTTGATGTCGGCGCTTGCACGAGGATACGTCTCGTAACGTCTCTAGCGTGGCTCTTCGTTCTTCGAACGTAGTAAATCTCGCTGACATACAATTTCAACGATGTCGCGTGACACGGAGTGACGTTAAATTAAATTTGCGGGTAAACACAGTGAGCGAGAGTATTCGGGAAGCCTGGCAGGGGATTCCTGTAGGAATTTCAAGCCGATGGATCCAATATCTGACATGTCAATACGCGCTGATCACTTGTCGATGTTTCGTTTCGACTACAATTCTATCGCGGGAAAAAAAATTCGTTACATTTGTCCGGTGAATTATTTGTCGAGGAGCTTATGCGCATGTTTTCGATTTACAAGATACCAATATTAAATGATCGTTGAGGAGATCGTAATATGTTTGTGTGGGGCGCTCTATTTTGGAAAACGTGTCAAACTCGATTGGCCATCCTAGGAAAGCCCGGGTGGAAATTAATTTCGTTGCTGATCCGGTTCACCTAGAAATTCTACGCGGATCGCGCGCGGGACGTAAAGGGGTGCCGCAAGGGTTGAAATGAAGCGACTAAAATGCATGCTCGTAACTGCGCTGTTCCGCAGTCACTTCCGGCTTCTGTATAGCTCTCCACTTCTTTATCGATCCGAAACGGAGCCCGTCTTCTCCCGTATCTTCTTGCTGGCGTTAAGTTCCATCAGTTTTATCGTTCGATCAATGCGTTCGATTCAAACCGGTTCGTGAAGAAACACAAAACACGTAGCGAATTTACGGATTAATTTTATTTTTAACTATCTTCACGATCAGCTCGTTTCTTTTAGTTTAACCGATCTAAATGTTTAATCTTAATGTTTTAATGTCTTAAAAGAAGAGCAATATTATATAGTACATTGCGGTTCTTTCGATTAACCATTTGTTACGTGTCGTTTATCAGAAATTATCTTTCAATCTGTTTTAGTGAAATTTCTAATTTTACTCGTGAAAGACAGGCACACAGCGTATCTCAACTTTGCTTTTAGCTGGACGTCATTGCTCCTGAATCCGTTCCGTTGTTCCAATGAGATGGAATTTGCAATTTCTTGTCACACATTGATCTCTACAGGTCTTTCCAGTTTCGACGTTGCATTAAGTTTTGATAGGCAAGTTCGACACGATCAGCTCTAATAACGAAGTTTGCGACAAATCCTCTTCCTTTGACGCTGCAGCTGGCACTAACTACTTTTCCCGTAATCGCATACGTAACAAATGAGCATATTCGCTTTGTACACTCTTACACGAGCACAAAGAGCCTCTCTCACACGCCGGCCGATTGACTCCTCTAACATTTTGCACCGGTCAAGTAATGTAATTCTACACTTGTATATTTCGTCATAACTATCTTTATCACCGCCTCGTTTTGTCTTCGCCGTCCCTCCCGCTCCTTCTTTTAATCTCGTTCTAATCAGCTGTTGGTTGGTACTTCGAATCTAACAAGTAACGCAGTAACAGTAAGGAGCGCGGAACTGTGTTTGTTGCAACGAAGAGTGGAACGCGAATGAAAGCATCGTCCAACGAAGAAGAGAATGCTTTTCCTTCCTAATCCAGCCGCGTTTTCAGATTACCGTCTTTTGCTATTTCCGCAACAACGTGCGTTATTAAAATATCGAGAATGACATTTTGAGACGGCGCATTGTCGCAAGCACAGTTCTGGTACGGTTTCTGCTATACCTACGTTACTGTCACGATCCATTCGGTCGTCTGCTGCGCCGTCTCTTCTACTCTCCATCACCTTGACGATCCGTCTCGGAAGCTGCGAAATCGCGCGAACGGTTCGCGACTCGGAAACGATCCCGGACGACGTGCATTCTTCTCTTATCGTTCGCGAAGAGATTACGTTATGCAAATCTAAACGAGGAATTTTCAACTAGCCGCACAAATCGGATTTAACTTTGGAAATAGAAGATCGCAATCGGACAAATTCTTGTCAGGATCTTAAATTACGATTCGACGCGAGGTCGTTAAAAAAAAAAAAAAAAGATCAGAAACTCTAATCCGACTCAATGACGTTTTTTTCTTGATGCAGATGAAACGAAATTCTTAGAAGGCGACAGAGAGTGAGAGAGAGACCCCGGATCAGACAGCCATGCAAAAGACACGCAATCGAAGCTAAGATTGAGAGCGAAAGAGAGGGAGAGAAAGGATGGGAAAGTGTGAATCGTGCGAGAGACAGAAAGATAGAAGGATGAACGCGAATGGGGGAGAGAAAGGAGGAGAGAATGTAATCACACAGCTGGGGAAAAGTTATAAGACGTGAACGTGAAAATCGGGACTGGTACACTGATCTCGGCCTCTCGTGCTTTTTTTATTGTGTTTCCAGTGATGCGTCAGGCCGGTCTAAAAGTGCTCGCAATCGTGTAGAAAAATTCAAGCGAAACTCTAGCCGCAACCTCTCGACATGAGATAAACGAGAAAGAGAAGAACGAGAGAGAGAGAGAGAGAGAGAGTTAGAGATGACGAGAAGGAGAAAGTGCGAGCGAGAGAAGAAAAAAATAGATAGAAACTGACGAGGACACCGTTTTCCATTGCAACAAGCGCCTAATCTCTTTCCTTATAACTCGGTTTTTAAACAGACAGAGAGGAAGGTCATAGAGGAGAGAGAGAGAGAGAGAGAGGATTTCCCCGAAAGGTTCTAGGAACGAGAGGAATGCTCGGGAAGACGTTGTTGTAGGAGACATTCTCCGGCTCGCGAGGTACCAGTTCCGCTCTGATCTAACTCATCGATAGTGCAATATGTACGCAGGCAGATTCGCGTGTCTACGTGTTCCCCGGGGATATTTCGAAATTTTTACTTGTGCTTCGGCACAAGTATTTCGACGACAACGAGAGATTGTCGCGTGTTTACTGCAGAGGAAGATCCCCACACTCCGTAGATCCGAAAAATAGAATTTATTTTCGAACTAAACTGTGCACGGGGGG